ATTAAAGTTCATAACTCTACCACCAGAAAAGCACTGGATAAAAATGAGTTTTATGAGAAAGTAGTGAGGAGGAAATCATTGCTCACTAATAAAAACATTGATACTTGTCTCAAGTTTGCCCCAAAGTCACTTGTTTGATCCTCCAGATTTCTGGTGGAATGTTCTAGGCCATGTTGGCTCAGGAATTCTGGGAGTTGAAGTCCACGAGTCATAAAAGAGCCAAGGTTGCCTACCCCTGTAAAATCTAGGCAAAATGAGCCCATGGCACAACTTTTCAGACTGCAACTGGCAGAAACAAAACACATCACGCAATAAGAATATCATACCAATTGTCAAGCAGGGAATTGGCAGTAGGGTGGTTTGGGAATACTTCGTTTTCTCAGGACCTTAACACTTCTATCACTGCTACACTGTATCAAAGAATTCTACAGAGGACCTAATCCCCATGGAAATGTTACGGCATGACCTGAATCAAGTAGTTTATGCTAAAAACCTGTTACTTAGCTGAACTAGTTCACCCTAGAATACCCCAAACTTCCAGTACAGTGATGCCAGAGAACAGTTTACCAATTACAGGAAGTATTTCGTTGCAGTCATTGTAGCTAAAAGTGGTGCAACTAGTTACTGAATTTGTCAGTTTTTTCACAGTGGCACATTGCAGGTTGGGTGACTTTGTTTATGATGAAATAAAACACCAAACTAGTGTTAGTTCACTCATATATGTCAATAGTACTAACGTGAAGCTCTGACATTCAATAACAAAGAGATGCAATTATTCAGAAAATTTGAAAGAGGGCAAAGACTTCTGTCAGCATCTACTCGGGCTGTTCACTGCTTTGGATTTAAAGGGGAAAAGAGGTTTTGGTGCATTCATTCACATAGCACTTTCAGTAACCCTTTTCAAAAGTTGCCTCTTTTCCTGCATTGCTGGCTTGCAATTGTAGGAAAGAGACAGCTGCCTTAATGAGATGCTGACAAATGCTATACGAATGGCCCTCCGTGTACTGCACAGGTCTTGCGTCTTTTATTTTCCACAACATACTGATAAAATGAGAATTAAAATCAAATGGCATGCACAGTGTACCTTAGGCTGAGATATGTAAGGAAAAAGTTCAGATGGGCAAAATCATTATTTTAAAAAATGACCAAAGCTCTCAGTATGATATGTAGCACTTTTCCTGTTCTCTCATAGGATTTAACATCCGGATCGGGAAGCCGAAAGGACCAAGAGATCCTCCTGCTGAGTGGAGCAGAGTATAGGCTGCACTTCCGAGGACACTCTTTACAGCAGGAAGGAAGGAAAGCTGCTGCTTCTACAAAAGAGGAGCACTAAATACTACATGCTCACCTCCTTCATAAGGAGCAACTACGCAAAAAACAGCAAGTTTTTCTGACCACAAAGAGGACAGTTACTATGAGCATTAAAGCTCAGGACATTTCTACGAAGACCGAATCCTCCAGTTAGAAGAACTTACTTTGACATTAACTTTTCTTAACCAGATCTTGTTTACTTATGGGAGCCAAGAGTGTGGCTGGCTTGGAGATTTTCAGCAATAATTATTTAGACCCAATACTGGGTATAATCATGCCAAGAAAATCCAGAACAGTTAGCCAATTAAACAAAATATATGGCTATTAATGTAATGTTCTCCTTAAGTTACAGCCACTGAAGTAAGGATAAGCCTTATTGGATGCTACTTATTGTATTTGAGCATTTATGTTGTTTGATGGTTTTAACTTACATAGGGTGTGAGCCTAACATGGGGCCAACACTTGGATGGTCTCACTTTCTAATGGAAAGCACAGAAAAAAGAAACCAGACCTAAGGGAGGATTATTGTATATAAGTTATAAAAGTTTGGTGTTGAAGAAAGGGTATCTCTCATACAATTACGCACTTCCAAATAATTGTATCAGAATGGATTTTGCTAATTCAGTCTTCAGAAGAAACGTATTCTGCATGACCATATGAAGAGATAACTACACTATTTTGAAAGGAATCTCTAATTCTTTGTCCCACATATTCCTCTTCAACAGAGTTTCTAATGCAACTCTGATAACCTTGTAATGTTAAGTGATCATGCTGCGTGTGGATTAGTTAGCTGACTAGTTTAGTGAATTACAATCCAGACATTTGGGGTGAATTCAACAGACACATCTGGCAAAGCAAAAATAATAGAGCAGGTGAGGAAAGTTTCCTATCCCATTTTGCTATCTCTTTGTTAGTCCTATTTATATGTCTAGGTAACATTACTACAATAGACAACAAAAGAGGAAAGAGGTTGTTGTAGAAAAATTGTAGGCATGAAGTAATAAAAACCAATTGGAGGGCCGAGAAAGGATAAGAGTCATAAAATGCTATAGTAAATTACAGTGAACATGTCCTCCATCGTCATGAGTCTTAACAACTGCTGTTTGACTGTCTTCTTTGCTGCTAATGTAGCTTTCAATATCAATTCCCCATAGACATTTTTAGAACTGGACAGCCAGCGCCAATGTTACCCAGTATGTTTCTGCTAAATTAAATACACAAGTGAACCAGGAACACAGAACAGGGAAGTGCAAGAGCCCCCTTTCTGCTGGACAAACATCACAAGTTCCATGTCAGAATGGGGAAGTCCTGGAATGGGTGGGAACCAAATTCTGACGTGAGCCAAAGAGATGGTCATTCCTAGAACAGGCAGAAAGAAAAATTTTATATTTATGGGAGCAAGCTTGAAGAATCCAGCTCAGGTAAGGTCCAACAGTCTGCTTCTTTGATGAGAAAGTGGCAGTTTTGAGGCACTGCTACTCAACACTGAGGAATTTCCGCTTCTTGGCTGTGTGGGTGTAGGGGTGCCAGCGCCATTCCACATCAGCGGTGTTCTCTTGCTCCAAGGTTCCCAGTTTGATCATATATACTGCAATAAGAGAAGAAAGGTTTGATCTGGCTGTTGTGCTCTGTGCTTCAGGGAATAAACCCCACAATTTTGTTTTCAGTCCAGTTTAACTGCAGCCTCTGAATGTCTGCAGAAAATGAATTTTTAGGACAGAGGACAAGGAAAGATAAACCCTATCCAAACAATGGAAAGAATCCTTAAAACTCAGAGCATTTTTTGCTGTGGCTGAGTTCACACATGCAGTTAAACGTTAATGGGCTTGTTAAATTTTGGCTTAGTATGTTGAGACCCTAGCCAGTGTAACACAACCAGAGGTTAGGGAATTACAATATATGTGAACTGAAACTACCATTATTCTTTAAGCCACACTTAAGTGGCCTAGCTGGTGCACATCAGATCTTCTTCTAGGACAACAACCTCCAAATAGCCAGCCAGATAGTCCTGAAAGCAAACCCTGAAACCACAATAATTATCCCCTGCATTTGAGTCTCACAGATTACATTAGGCAACAGTATGTTTAAGGATGAGTCATGGAGTAAGCCATAGCATATTGTTCTAAAGTTGAGGAAGCCACATTAGAGTTACTGCAATAGGTGAACCCAGTCACCAGAAGCCATTATTGAATGGTAGTTACCTCCCTCCCCCAATATCACAATGATTCAGATGGACAAAGGCCAAGATTCTGATTTACAATAAGCCTGTCAGCTTCTTCATGTGTCAGCTGAGATCTGAATCAGCAACTTCTTCATCATTATACGTGCTCCTAACCACAACGTCTTTAGATCAGAATAGGGACAGGAAGAGAATCGTACTGAACTATGAAAAGGGTGATTGAATCCATTCTAGTGTTCAACAGACATAGCAGTCATTTGAAGAACCTTGTGATCCATAAATACTGAACAATTGTGTTAGTTTTTCTCCTCCCTGAAGCAAATGCACAGAAGGGATTTTTTTTTCAGAAGGACAAGAGTCATGGACAAATCTACACACTGGTCCAGTTTTTAAAGTGCATAGTGAACATCTACAAGAAGCATGGCAGCAAAAGATTTTTTGTACAGCATCCTCAAATGTGGTGCTCTATCAAACATGGTAAACTATAATTCTCATCACTTCCAGCCATTGTGGCCATAGCCTATGAATTACTTGACCAAACATAACTAGAGGGCACTGCTCTTGAACAAGGAAGCTACTTTGTTTTAAGAAGCAGCCTTACAGTAAACATCAGCAGAAAATTGTTCCATTATGTCATCTGTAGTACAATAAAGCAAGAATTGTCAGAAATATTGCCTCTTTTTGTTAGGAAGGAAATAAACAGATTGACTCATGCTAGAACTTGAGAGCCTTTTGAAAAACATTGTTGTCAACCGCAGGGGAAATCAGATTATAGCCCTTGACCCCAATTGTGGGGAAAATAACTGAGGACTCCGTGTGCTCTAAAAAATACTGCTATCTGTGTACAGTACACTGTGTCCTATTTTTTTAATTTTTATTTGTTGCAATTAGTAGGACTTGAGATGGATGTTTCTTTATTGAGGAGTCAGCCATTTTTTTCAAAAAGACAGAGACAAAGAAAGCCAGAGAAAAAGATGGATTTCCTTTCTACACGTGTTTACTTAAAGCTTCATATTTCTAATATTGACTTGGAGATTTTACCTGGAAAAAGCCATTCCATTTAAGCCTGCAATGTAGTGACATTATAAATATACTGTATTAGCTTTGCCCATCCAAGAGATGCTGAACAATACGTAGAATTCCCAGTAGGACTTGCTCCAACGTATAGAAAATTATTCCAGAATTTCCTCTTCTTCCTCTCTTCCTTCTCCTTTTTCTTCTTCAATGCTTTTGATACTTACTGTGTCAAGTATCAAATACAGTATCAAAAGCTTGACTCAGCCATCCGTCCTTCCGAGGTCAGCAAAATGAGGACCCAGATTGCTGAGGGCAATATGCTGACTCTATAAATCGCTTAGAAAGGGCTGTAAAGCACTATGAAGTGGTGCATAAGTCTAAGTGCTATTGCTACAAAGTTGAAGTTGCCTCTCCTGTTCATTGCAGATTTATATTTCACATATTGATTCAGTCCACTTGCCAACCAGCTGCCATGTTCGGACATCTCTCTCTCCCAACCACGTAACTGGATTCCCAATCCCCATATGAGATAGAGATATATACATATAAATCCAGTTTGATCTAGCGGTTAAGGCACCAAGCTAGAAAGCAGGAGATCATGAATTCAAGTCTCGCCTTAGCCATGAAAGCCAGCTGGGTGACCTTGAGCAGTCATTTTCTCTCAGCCCAGCTCACCTTGAATTATTTGTAAAAATAATAAAGGCAGGAGAGAAATATATAAAAATGTGGCAGAGGCTGAGAGAACAGTGACTCAGTTAAAACTGGCCTGGCAAGTCAGTGATAGAGGCAAAGTTTCCGATTTCACAGTTCACAGTTTGATGGTGATACTTACGTTTCATTTCAAACCTTGGCCCAACCTCAGAGAGCTCCACATTCCGATGGTCAGTCTTCTTGTAAACATGGTGCCTGCCCCAGATAATATTGGAAAATTACAGAGTAAGCACTGGGAAGAATTAAGAGCAGTCCTCTTCCCCAGCAGTCAGGCTCTGTTATGCTTTTTATCAGCCTCTTTGATCCCCCCTCCTCCTGAGTTTCTTCCCCCATTAAGCACGAGTACAACCCAAATCCCAGCTGCTAAAACATGGACAAAGGGCAAACACTTCATCATTTCAAGCAAAGCAGCAAAAGTCACACACACACAAACCATATTGGCAAATGTTTCTCCTCATATTTGATGACCAAATATAAATCAAACTGATAGTTGTCTACCTTTTCAAGTGGAACCACATCTGAGGCCCTCTCTTCATTCTTCCCATGGCAGAGCCAGCTACAGGATGCATATTTGCATTCAATTCATCCCCTCTACAATTAACGGCACTATCTTCTTTGAGGCCATTGCTAACAATGCAACTTGTTGATTGACTTTAGTTGACTCTACATTAAACTTCAGATAAACTATATTTTGGTGTTACACATTGCATGAACACAACTGCAGCGTACCACAAATGGAATAGAAGCCAGGAATAAAGTTTTATTTTTTTATTTACAAATGTTTATCCTGCCCGCCACTGGGTACACAAATTGTGGCCAGGTACACACATAAAGTAATAAAGTTGCCCACTAGATGACTGACTGAAAACTCTGTAGAAGCAACTTGTATGAACTATTTCATTTAGAAGTCAGTGGCAATTATTTCTCATTAAATAATGATAAGCACAAACTGGTGGCAGACAGTGCTAGCTAAAGAGAAGTGCTACAGCTTCCCTGTTTGCATTTTGAAAGAATCAGTAAAGTGCAGAACTAAAGCAAATCCACAAATAAGCCCCCAAACGCTCTCTGTGGCTGCCCATCCATCTTATTTCCAAAGCAGCTTGAAAAATGTTCTCTCATCCTTCTTTGGCCTGAGTCCCTTCACATGTCTTGGGACTTCATTTACCACAATCCACAACAAGTATAGCAATTATAATCCAACTATTCAGAAGGGACCAAATTGCAGAAGTGTGTACTAACCCCTAGAGTACTGTCCATGAATAAGACCTCACAACTGGCATCAACAAGGAGTGAATCTAGCACCAGTGAAGTTTGCGTTTTTTTGGCTCCACTCTCGCAACCATTTCTCCTCAGCCTCACTCAGAATCCAAACTAGGAACTCATACCTGAAGGAGATGTAGTCGTCTTGGTTGGCAAAGGTGATGACCCGCTTGCTCTCTTCTTTAGGTACTGGAAACAAGTACTTGAGAATGCTAGTGGCCTGTGAAGGAAAAGGGAAAATGCCAGAAGCTCGGTGGTAGAAAGTGGATGATGCGTGATGAAAGCTGGAAACAATAGTGAATGAAGCATCAAATGTTCCTGTAGTCTGAAAGTCAAGTTTCCCCTTAATGGAATCAGATTTAAAGAAATACGTAAATGAACACAATTGCAAGATCAGGCCAATAAATCAGACTTAACTCACATGACAGTCTTTGAAGGGGTTTGATCATAGACCTCCCATAATCCCCAGCTAGAATAATATTTAGCAACTCAACTAAAATGTTATTTGTATGATTTCTGGTATATAAAAAAAGTGAGAAAACTTCCTGTGGTTATGCCACTTCTCTAATACTCACATCTTTACTTTGCCCAAAATACCATATAAAAAACACTGATGGATCCAGGCTAAAGCAATAATCCCATACTCATTTCTGTAGGAGTGGATTCCACTGCTCTCAGGGGCTGAGTTCACAACATGCTAGCCTAGGACAATAAAAGATCTAGCAGCTTTAACCCTGTTGTTGTTTTTTAATTGTGGCTTAGTCTATTGAATAGACCTAGTGTATTTAGCTGCTTTATGATACATTCTGTAAACCAAGAAAACAGCAATCATATTTAGTGACTTTGGCACGTACATTTGCCAGTAGATCTTACTGCAGAGTCAAAAAAGATTTCCTGCCCTGCCATCCCTCAGATGCAGCCCTTTTGTTTTGCACACCTGGAGAGCTACCTTCTCCATTTTGATTTTCAATCTCTATCTAAACAGTTCTCTAACACTGAGGAAACAACATTCTGATCTACCACTTCATCTTACCCTCTGTCCAAGACGAGATGTGAAATTGTGGAAGATGAGGTGGGGGTTGGCTTCTGACATAGTGCCAATGTCTGGGATATCATGGCGCATGACCACGTTGCAAAGGGTGAAATAGGCAGTGGGGCCAAAAGGCAGGTGGCTGACTATGAGTCCATCTAAGTAATGAAGAAGTGGGAACAAGGAGAAGAGAAAACTAGTTAGGCCCAGTTGCTATCAATGGAAGAAAATGAACCCATTGAAAAAAAGATATTATGACACGGCCTGATGTGTGGGAATGATGCATTATCCACCAATTCTGCTTATAACCAGCTACTCCACCTAGGTCAGCATTATCAAAAGCTTCAGATGGAAGTCTTCCCAACTCTACCTGGAGATGCTGGCCACTGAACCTGGGAGTAGGTGGGTGCACAGCCTATATACTTTACCACTACATGTTAACTTTTACCGAGTCAAGTAAGCAGCATACTGGATTTCAGCTCTCATCAACCTGAGGAAAGCTAGCAAAGGATTGTTGGACTATAACAAAGTATCTGGAAGGCATTAAATTGCTTCTGAAGAGTAGGGCCATTGCCGATAAATTTGACATCAAACAAGCAACTTCAGCCCATTTCCAAATGAGCAAAGCTGCACCTTCCATATCAGACATGTCAAACTCGTGATGTCACATGACGTCGTGCAACGTATCAGGCATTTTGCCATTGCCGGCAATGGGGTGGGTGCAGCTTCCACATGATGCGTCCGGCCCATGGGCCAGCAGTTTGACACCCCTGTTCTATATGATTCCATCAAACTGCCCTCCTCAAGTCCAGGGCAAATGAAATAAAATGACTATTGAATCTCTGCCAGATATGCTCTCATAGCTACAGGATGCAAACCACAATTATCTAGTCTGTACTCCTTGCAAAACACTTACCTGGCACCCCTCTGTGCTCATGCACCACCAGCAGGTCGGTGACCCCATTGGCTTTGCAGGCACGGACCAAAGCACCCACCTCATGCCTTCCCCGGTTCATTCGCTGGGCCCCAGGGAAAACTAGCTTCACTTCCTAAACAGAACACGGGAACAACACATGAAATTATAAGGAGCCATTTACAATCAGATTTCTGAGCAGAAGCAACCAATATCACCTTGTCTAATGATAACACGGGTTAGATTCACTCTACTGAAAGGAATTTTTTTTAATCTGGAAAGCTTGAGCTGAGGTCTTAGGTGATCCCTTGGCACAGAGTCTCTGTTAAACCATTTGCTTTGATCTCCTAACTGCCCAGGACTGAGCTGAACTGTTCAATGAGTTTCCCTTCTTACAGGCCAGTAGCCAGATTTGGTATGAAATATTCCCAGAAAGACTGCAGGTTCTCCGATGAGCAAAGTAAGACTTTTACTAAACCACTCAGCCAAGCCTGCCCCATCAACCTGCTTTCTAAACCTGTGCCTCCATCTAAAGCAGGACAAAGCATTTGCTATTTACTTACTTTGGCAAACATCTTGAGGCGGGAGCTGGGGTCACGGGAGGTGGTAACCATAATACGGGGAACCTCCACTCCAGCCCAGCGATATTCATCATCCACATGACTTGTGGCTCCTGCCAGGCCAATGTTATAATTACAAACCTTCCCAGAGATAGACATATTCCCCAGAAATTATTTAGAGGGCTGCAGATTAGGGACGGTAACTTAGAGGTTTGGCTCCAATGACCCACTCACCTTCTGCCCCTCCGTCATCAAACTCAAGTGCTTTCTGGAGGACCAGGGCTTCTTTACGAAGTTCTGTGGGAATCAGGCAGTTCTCTGGAAGGGAAAAGTACAGATGACTTTTAAAAAATTGTAAAAATCCATATTATTGTGTTATTGATTCACCCAACTCCCAACAATTCTAGAGGGTTTACCATTTAAAGTAAAAATCACAAAACAAATACAGCCGTGATTGTATAGTATAAAAGAATATATAAAATACAATAATTCAACCAGACTAAACATTAAAAAAACAAATATGGAAAAGAAAAAAATAAGACAAGTATAAAATTAATTCCATCCTTACGAGGAAGAAAAGCTGGGGTGAGAGGATTCCTCCACTCACCAGCTAGCATGCCCATCATTATTTGGTTTAGGTAAGTAATGTTAAGTACTGTAAGAACTGCAAGGCCTAGCTCTTTCAACAGACTTTTGAAAAGTTTACAAGAACAGCTGTTCCCACCTATTTTATTTATGTATTAGAATTATACTGTTTTTTCCAGAAAACAAATTGTACATCTTATTTCTCCTCCAATTTTATGCCCAGAATCGACATCTTTTGAAGTTGTTAAAGGGAAACTGCCTGGTGAAATGTCAACTCCAGGGCTGAAGCGGGTCTTGAATCTGGGTCTTCCTTATCCTAGTACAATCATTACACTAATGATTGTAATCAAAAATTACTTTTCAACAATTCTGTGAGATTGGATGGCTGAAATATAACATGGCTTAATAAATCAACATAGTTCCTCTTAAAACCCAGCCCTTGTTTGATTAGAATATCAGACAAGCACTAAAGATACTTAGTTTCAAATCTCCATAAAGCTATTAATTCATGGATAATTGTGCACCTAGTCTATCTCTCAAGATTATTTGTGAAGATACCTTTTGAGAAGAAATCTCGAGTAAATGGAAGGAAACATGGGGAACAATTGTAATAAGTGAATAAAAAAGCACATTGGTTCAATTATATGGCAAACTATATATGCTGTCTTAGATATAGGATCTATTAAGTTTAGTGGGGCTTACTTAAAGGCCAACTGGCCCTCAAACTTCACATTCCCACAAAATACAATCCTGCTGCTATATATTGCAATTCCAAGTCATTAACATGTACCATTCAGAGCTTTTTTAATTTTTTCTTTCTTTTCTTGGAGAGTCCGGAGTTTTTCTTCTTGAGCTTTGCGGTAAAGATACTCCCGCCTCTGACGAGCCTCCCGACGCAACTAAAAAAGTACAAAAGCATCAATTAGATTCATTAATACCATTTTTTTTTCATTTCCCTTCTGACTTCAAAATACTTAGTGATGGGAGAAAATGGATCTGTCCTGAAACATTTGTTAAAAATCCTGAAATTTTCACTTTTGAGTTACATGCATTTAGACAGGCTACAATTAAAACAGATTAGGATTGTAATCCTACAACTGCTTCCTTGGAAATAAATCCCATCAAATTTAGTTGGATTGCTAAATAGACATTTGAAGAATTATGGGGCAATTTCAAAAACAAATCTAACCAACATTGCCAACTACTGTAATTCAATGTACTTAAAAAGAAATAGGCCGAGAAGCCTGATTAAAATACAGGTAACTTCTAAACAGCGTATACAAAATCTATACTCTTTGCTCCGAATTAGTCAGATTCTATAATGTCTACTATCCCGAGGTTTCATTGATTCGAATCGTTGGACAAAGTCTAAACTGAAATTCTGTCTCCCCTCTCTTAACGAGAAAACAAAACCAATTACTGCTCATTCTTCCAAAAAGAAAATATTGCTCGATGCACAAAAATGAGTTCTTACCATGATCTCCCCTAGAACATCCCAGTCTCGACCACGTTACGATTCACTTTCTTTCAATCACTTCCGCCCTTGATGTCGGTTCTCATTGGTCAGGAGAAACGGCCTATAACAGATGAGAATGAAAACCCAAAGGGAAGCCTTCTTAGGCCCACACCAAACATGGCAGAACAAGGGAAGGTGACGTAATGAGAACGCGTGCCCGACGCATCCACGATGACGTCACTAAAATGCGCGCGCAGATGATGGGATGCAAATTCTAATGATGCTTCCGAAGAGCAATAGCACTAACGCTTAGACTTATATACGGCTTCATAGTGCTTTATAGCTTTCATAGTGCCTTTATAGCTTTATAGGCTGTTGAATACCGGGTAACGTTGTTGAGATTTTTTTTTCTAATGGAATATTGAAATAGTGGGGTCTAGGCTTTTCCCCCCCGCCTTTCTTTCTTTCTTTCTTTCTTTCTTTCTTTCTTTCTTTCTTTCTTTCTTTCTTTCTTTCTTTCTTTCTTTCTTTCTTTCTTTCCCTCTCCAGATTGATTCCCTTCCAACAGTAGGCAAAAAAGCATAAATACGGGAGAAAGATCTAGCTAGCGGATCCTATTTCATATTTCGTATATTTTTCCACTCTTCTGCCCCCATAGATTCTAATCTGAAGGAGAAATGAAAATGCTCTTGGGGGCTTCTTGGAGAGAAACCGGAACTGAGTTGCCAGCATTCTTACCACTGCGAGACAGCACACAGCAAATATTTTGATCCACTGGATTTGTTCAGCCCAGATCCGATACCCATATATTTCCCGGCCTCTGGGGAGGGGGGGGGGGATCTCTTTTGGTCAGTTTTATCGATTCAAAAGAGAGCCCATCACCACCCTTGCCCGAAATATCAGAGGGCACAGCGTACATATAAGCCTGCACAAAAAACAACACCTCCCTTAATAGACATGGTTTCTGTTTAAGCCTTAGTCTAGAACAGGGATAGGCAACCTTGGCTCTTTTATGACTCGTGGACTTCAACTCCTAGAATTCCTGCATGGAATTCTGGGAGTTGAAGTCCACGAGTCATAAAAGAGCCAAGGTTGCCTACCCCTGCCCTAGAACAATGTTTCTCCACCTCAGCAACTTCAACTTATGTGGACTTAAGCGAGCTGGTTGGAGAACTCTGGGAGTTGAAGCCCACACATAATTACTGAGATTGACAATCGCCATTCTAGAGACAGACGAAAAGCTTCACAACCGGAAAAAATCGAAGCTGTATTGTCGCTTCTCTACCTCGGTTACAGCCGATTGGCCAAAGATTAACGTTTCTGATCTTATTGGCTGTGGAAGAAGAGAAGGTGGAGTCATGTTTCATAGGCAGCAGTACAGGAAGTCAATTGAGAAAAGCGGAGAGAGTTTAGGGGAGGTTGGGCGGCCAAGCTGTCTTCGGTAGAGGAAAAGCTACGAAGTTACTCTGATATATATTTGCTTAAGAAGGTATCTTCTTTCTTTCTTTCGATTAGCCGATCACAGATGCAGGTAGAAAGAATGAGAGGCTTGTGACATCTCAGGATTCTTTTATTGTGGTGTCGTAAGTAACATTGCAGTTCTCTAATAAATCAACACAGATCCCTCGTTAGCTTCACAGTAAAACCCTCGTGTAGTATCTGCCCCTTGAAATGACGGGTGAAGCGAAGCAGAAGAAACTCGTGGATCGGTCAGAACTCTTTAAAATCCTCATATACTGTAACCACTTTGAACTCTGGAGGAAGGTTGGAAAAATAAAGTATTGGATATGCAGTTTACATATTTTAAGAGGGAAGAAAAAGGTGAGGGTGGTGGTATTGAGCCTGATGAAGCAGAGCAATCCTGGATATGTCTGTTCAGAAGTAAATCTTCCTGAGTCCAGTGAGCTTTTGGCTGGTATTGTCACCACAATAATTGACTGTGATAGCTCCTAAGATTGTTTGCCAAAGGAAGCTTATTTTGAGTCTTCTTTTATGCCTTTCCATCAGCACAAGTTGTATTGATTCAGACAGGTTTTTAGCTGATAGAGTAATTTGCAAATATGGACGCAGATCCAAATATGTATATCTGGATGAAAAGAAACAAGCTTTTCTCACCTTTCCTTTCTTTTATGGTCCTAAATGCTTTCTAAATATTGCACAAACAGTTGTAAGGTCCTGCTAAATGGGGTAGAGGGCCTGAAGAGATAGTGGGATCCTTTTAAAAAAATCATTCCATCAGCATTCCTCACTTTGCCTTGTTTTCAGAGATCCTTCTCCACAGGAGCATATCCCATTCAGTGGGTTTGTCCATCTTCTTTACAATATTTTGAAAAAAATATTGTTGTTGGGACACAGGCAGGGAATCTGCTTCCACCAGTTGCATGCATCTCATACAATTGCAAATGGCAGTTGGAAATGGCTTTAATTGCTTAACTTGTGATCTTATTTGTATTTTTTGCTTTTAAGAGGTTTTGAACACTATTTAATGGAAAGACCATGTGCAAATTAAATATATAAAGTAATAATTTACATCAACATGGATGTTTATTATAGCAGAAACTCCTGAAACTTGTATGACACAAGGTCGAGTAGGATCAATTGCATAATTTTTTGTTTAGATGGCTCCCGCAGGGGACGTTGGACAAATTGAAATATGCGAGGAATTGGACCGTATTATCCTTCACCTTTTTGATGCTCTGGAAATGCTCCAGACCAAAAGAGAAGCTTTCAATAGCATGGTTGAACAGGTGAGAACATGGCACATGAGACCTGGGTAAAGGCCAAAGGCAGGCTGCCAAATGATGGGGTCATTTTCCCTTTCCCCAATTGTTGCTCCAGTTGGGTAGAGCTGTTGATTCCTTTTTGGGAACTGTGTCATAAAGATTGCCTTTGTCTTCTCAATGGCAGAAAATCCAGAATCATTCATTCTTTTTTCATGATGACTAAGAATTCTGGCAGTTGTAACTATTCACATTGAGAGTTATCTGATCAGAAAGATTGCTGTAAGGTGTGTTTTTGATTTTGCCTCTCCAGGGTTGGTTCTCACTCTCCAAATCTCGCTATGCCATGGGTAACAAATCTGTATCTACTCTGCAATATGGACACCAGATGACTCCACTTGTTCGGATAGAAACTAGGTGAGCGGGAAAATTGCTGGATTTTGGCAAGGAGGGAAATTCTATGGTAGGGAATAAAGGCAGCAGCTGCAATGATACATCGTGCTAAACCAAAATCTGGTTGCCTTGCTTTTAGTTTAGTTGTACAGACACAATCATTGTGTTTAATGAATTATGGTTTATGGTTTAATGTGTTGTATAAACTCAGTCAACCATGTTTAATCTGATGTGTGATCTTGTCATTGAGAGAACAATGGTATTAGAATGATCTATAACTTTTTGTATTAATTTCTGAAGATTTCCAATTTCATTACTTTCTTCTCCCTGTTGACTGACCCACCCATTAAATGGATATTTGTGTTAAAATAGGTATACAGGCAGTCCTCAAGTTAAGAATGAGTTCCAGTCACCTGTCTGTCTTTATCTCAAATTTCTATCTAAGTCAGAACTTGGACTTATGAACAGACTGCTTATTAGTACAAATGCTGAACAGAGTTTTCCTTCCTCAAGCCTATGAACCACTGAAACCACACAATGTTTTCATGAACTGCTGAAAACAGGCTCTATATTATTTATTATTAAATTTATATGCTGGCAATCTCACTATCCAATATTAAAAATTCACAAGGCTGCAACAGTTCATGAAAACATTGTATGGCTTCAATGGTTCATCATCTCAAGGAAGGAGAATGTCATCCACCATTTTTAATAATAGCCAGCCCATTCAGAAGTGCAAGGTGTCTGTAAATCAAATGTTCTTAATCCAGGGGCTAATAGTAAGTAGCTAACCAGTATAATGAAAGGAGAAAAAAAATAACTAGGTGCTTTTGCACTTGCCTTTTTAATTTTTCTAAAACCAGATGGTATCTATTTTGTGTTCTTTTTATTGGAACCTCCCTGCAAATATTTAAACTATTATTTCAAATATTTCCATTGCTATTCAGCAGGGGAATGGTAGGAATTAAATAGCTAGATGCATCAGATGGGGGAAGATTGCTCTATTCCATAATAGCTGTTCCAGATCACCCTAATAATTCCACAAATGGTTAATCCAACTCCCTTTGTAAGTAGGGACTGTATTACTTGGCTATATGCAATCATACTTTAATTATGAGAGCTTTGTGTTCTCTTAAGCTTTTAGGCAAGTAAGAGAAGTTTTGCTATGGATCATTTGGATGGCTTTGTTGATAAAATCAGTACTGGAAGATTGCTTTATTTCTTTGCTTTTGGGATGAGGACTAGAGAAAGCTAGATTCAAATCTCCATTCGGTGTGGAAAATTCTTTGAAAAATCTTGACCCAATAGTTCCCTCATAACCTGATCAACATCACAGTTTTGTTATGGAATAACATTGATAGGGGCAAATGTAATGTACACCCATGGCGGAAGAGAGAGAGAAAACTGAAATGATCTCTGTCTCACAGAGCCCCAAATAATGATTATCACTATTGCCCATTCCTTGGAAGTGAATTGGTTTCAAGCTAAATGCTCAATCTTGCATATGACTCTCTATTGGTTCCATTTAGCAAGGCAGAAGATGGGCAGACTCAGTTTCAGGTGATCGCAGAAGATTCTTTCAAAGGGAAGGATGAAAGCCCAGCTTTTGTGGAAGAGATTGGCCCCAGTGAACAAGGTAAAGGAACAAAACCCACAAGATTTTCAAATCCCCTTGATCAAAATTGATAAGAAACTGCAATCATTTTGCCAAGGTGTGTTGGAATCTTTTCCTGCCAGATGCCTCTTAAAATTACTATTGGTTACAATATTAATAATAAAAACCAAAGATATAACAATTTGGGAAAATAAGCTCTGTATAATAGAAATACAAATCAGAAATTCTTTGTCCCCAATAATATGAGAACTACAATACAACCATTCAAATGCAAGGTAGCTATTGAAAATACCAGCAATCAGCCTCAATCACTCTTCAAAGGTAGAGATGAGAACAGTTCAACTGCACTTT